TAAAGATTTTATTTAATTATTTGAGAGAGCAAGAGCAGGGGGAGGAGCAGAGGGAGAAGCAGACTCCCCTACTGAACAAGGAGCCCAACTCGGGGCTCGATCCCAGGATCCTGAGATCGTGACTTGAGCCAAAGGCAGACGCTTTAATGACTGAGCCACCCAGGAGCCCCGGAAGTTTGCACTTCTTGATCCCATTCATCTATTTCACTCATCCACCTGCCCCCATCCCCTCCGGCAACTGCCGGTTGTTCTCTGTTACTTATGAGTCTGTTTTTGGTTTTTTGTTTTTTTCTATTTTTTTTTGGTTTCCACATATAAGTGAAACCATATGGCATTGGTCTTTCTCTGACTTATTTCATACCCTCTAGGTCCGTCTATGTTGTTGCAAATGACAAGATTTCATTCTTTTTTATGGCTGAGTAATATGCCGTGGTATATCTGTGTGTGTGTGTATGTATATATATATATATATACATACACACACACCCCCCCAACATCTTCTTTATCCATTCATCTATCAATGGACACTAGAGTTGTTTCCATATCTTGGCTATTGTAAATAATCCTGCAATCAACATAGGTATGCATGTATCTTTTTGAATTAGTGTTTTGGCATTTTTTGGGTAAATACCCAGTAGTGGAATTACCAGATCATATGGTAATCCTATTTTTAATTTTTTGAGGAATTTCCATACTGTTTTCCACAGTGGCTGCATGAATTGACATTCCCACCAACAGTGTGGGAAGATCCCCTTTTCTCCACATCCTTGCCAACACTTGTTATTTTTTGTCTTTTTAATACTAGCAATTCTGACTGGTGTGAGGTGTTATTGTGGTTCTGATTTGCATTTCCCTGATGATTAGTGATATTGAGCATCTTTCCTTGTGTCTGTTGGCCATCTGTAAGTCTTCTTTGGAAAAACGTCTATTCAGGTCCTCTGTCCATTTTTTATTCAGAATTTTTTTTTTTTTTTTGGTGTTGAGTTGTAGAAGTTCTTCATATATTTTGGATATTACCTCCTTATTGAATAAGTAATTTGCAGATACATTCTCCCATTCATTAGGTTGCTTTTTTGTTTTGTTAATAGTTTCCTTTGCTGTGCAAAAGCTTTTTATTTTGGTGTAGCCTCGATAATTTATTTTTGCTTTTGTCTTCCCTTGTCTAAGGAGACATATCCATAAATATATCATTAAGGCTATTCGATGTCCAAGAGATTACTGCCTATGTTTTCTTTTAGGAGTTTCATAGTTTCAGATCTCACATTTATGTCTTTAATCCATTTTGAGTTTATTTTTGTGTATGGTCTAAGAAAGTGGTCCAGTTTCATTCTTTTACATGCAGCTGTCTAGTTTTCCTAATACCATTAATTGAAAAGACTGTCTCTTCCCCATTGTATATTCTTGCCTCCTTTGTCATAGATGAACTGACCATTTAAGCATGGGTTTACTTCGGGGCACTCTATCCTATTCCACTGATCTGTGTGTCTGTTTCTGGGCCAGTACCATACTGTTTTGATTACCAAGCGTTGTCATGTATCTCGAAATCTGGGATTATGATACCTCTGGTTTGGTTCTTCTTTCTCAAGATTGCTTAGCTATTTGAGAAGACCCCTGCATCCTTACAACCAATTCCAATTTTGGTGTGAGCTCACTGGAATGGGTTTCAGATACCACTATCACGTAAGTCCTGAAGAAGACACTCTTTCTTGACCTTTAATGCCTTTATACAGCGATAATGCATTTCTGTACTAAACCAAAGCTGATACAAATATGACATGGGTGCTGTTACTTTCCCAGCCAACTCCCCATGCAGACGTGATGAAGGGGTCACAGCACTCCCTATCTGGGCCTCACAAGTCATCACCATACTGTTCCACGTGGCCCCAAAGAAATTACCTGGAGTTGGCACACAAGAAAACAGTTATTGGCCATCGATGTTCTAGACTCAGGTGCACACTTACAAACCCATATCCACCCATCCATAGGGTTTGCTTTTTGTTTTTTTGTTTTCTTTTTTCTTTGTCTCTGGGGATTTGGTCACATTTTAGAGTTCATCAACTTGGGGCAATGGTTACTAAAACCCTTACAGAATCAGAGCACTCTGTTCTTTCTGAATTAATTATTTATATTCATGAAGTATGGCCTACTTATTTGTACATTACTCTGCCAGTTTATCCGTAATTTGTCACAGATTTATATGCAATCTGAAAAAAAAAAAATGATCTCACTACCACAGGATAACCTGCAAACTTCAGGAACTGTAAATCCTGCGAACTTCAGGAAGTGTAAACTACCGGAAACCTGTCAATTGCATGAACTGTGTCTGCCATGGCAAAGCCAAGAGTGTTCCTCCCCCCACTTAATGTCTTTATCACACAGCCTCCCTGTCCAACTGCAGCAAAAAGTCTTTCTGACTACCTTGATAGACTAGGACTAGTAAACAAACAAAAAGGGCATCTTAAAAATCAGTAACATACCAACTCCATCAACTGTTTGAGCTGACCTATCTCTTCTGGCAGCGATCCAAGTTTGTTGTTACTTGCGATTAAGACTTTGAGAGGCAGACCACACAGGCAGGCAGGCAGGGCAGACAGCTGATTTCGACTGCAAAGACAATACCAGAACACAGGTGAACATACAACCTCATGCTGTTGCTGAATGGCTTGTGAGTCAGCAAGAAGAAAGGAGCAATCCGAGAAGACATTTTACAAATATAAAAGGTCCAGTAAAGTTTCTGCATTTGTCATAAATTCCAAGTACAGAAGATAATAAAATATATTTCTAAGAAAGGCAGAGGCCCCTGGGTGGCTCAGGCGCTTGGGTGTCTGACTCTTGATTTCGGCTCAGGTCCTGATCTCAGGGTCCTGGAATGGAGCTCAGCAGGGAGTCTGCTTCTCTTTCTCCCTCTCCCTCTGCCCCTCCCCTGATTCTGGCACGTGCTCTAAATAAATAAATAAATAAATAAATAAATAAATAAATAAAATCTATATTAAAAAAGAAAGAAAGAAAGGCATAGGCAGTTCCGTGGGAAACAACTTTTTCCAGCACAAGGAACGCCATCAAACCCCTGCAGAAGCTGAGTCCTTGGCCAGCCAGGAGGCAGATGGGCATCGTGCCCTGTGCCACCAACAGCAACAGGAAGCTGGTGCCAACTCTTCTCTTCCTGACAATGTGAGCAGGAAGCTCAGCAAGGTCCAAGCACCATGAAGGCATCCTCCCGTCCATGTGAGTAGTGATGGGGAAGATCATTTTGCTGCAACTTATAAAAGCCCTCCAGCCTGATTTCCAACATTTTGATTCTGCTTCCTTTTGCTAACACAAGAGCCACTGTGGTTAAGGTCAATTTGGGTGTCTGCAAGGGAGCTAATTAAAAGAAGAAAAAAGCTGGGACGCCTGGGTGGCTCAGTCAGTTAAGTATCTGCCTTTGGCTCAGGTCATGATCCCAGGGTCCTGGGATTGAGCCCCCCATGGGGCTCCCTGCACAGCAGGGAGTTGCCTCTCCATCTGCCCCTCCCTCGGCTCATGCTCTCTCTCGCTCTCTCTCAAATAAATAAATAAATAAAATCTTAAAAAAAAAATAAAAGAAAAAAGTAAAGTTGGCCTTCTGGCAAAAGTGAAGCTGGAGCTTCGAAGGGTTCAGTTTCACAGAGTACCCAGAAAACTGCTCACATTCAGATTCACAGAGGACCCAAAAGTCTGCATCCAGGTCTCACTTCTGCTTTGCATGAAGAGGTTTTCTACTAAGAAGTGTCTGAACTTCCTATCATCAATGCTTAGTTTTTCTGAGAAATGGAAAAATAATGGATAAGTGAAATCCATGAACCATGTTATGTATGTTAGCCATTTATTTCAAACTTCTCTCCCACAAAAAGCCCTTTCCCTGCCATCAAGTAAGGAGATAGATGGTTTTCAGTTTCCCTGCCTTTCTTTCCCCACCATTCTGCTGATGAAGCCAATGACCAGGCTGTGAAATATCTAAAAATCTATTTGTCAACTATTTAGAACTTCTTTTGTGTATGTGCACACATGTACGAAGCTTCCAAGGTTGTGGTACAGTGTGCATATATTTATGGGCACACATAAATCAGTGTGTGTGAGAGGAAGGGACAGACAGCCTGAAAACACACCAAAATGTTATCAGTAGTCCTTTGAGGGGGATTAGGTACAATGAATGTCTTTTTATTTTCTTCCTTACACTTCGCTGAATTTTCCAAAATTCCTACAATGTGCTTTTATAATTAAGAAATAAATATCACGGGGCGCCTGGGTGGCTCAGTCCGTTAAATGTCCAACTCTTGGTTTCAGCTCAGGTCACGATCTCAGGTTTGTGGGATGGAGCCCTGCACGGGGCTCAGCGCTCAGCGGGGAGTCTGCTTCTCTTCCTCTGCACCCCCTACTTGCGTGCTTTCTCATGCGCTCTCTCTCGCTCTCTCTAAAATAAATAAATAAATCTTAAAAAAAAGAAATAAATAACAGTATAAAAAGATAAACTTCATCTGCATACTGGTTACATGGGTGTTTCTACTTATGAAAATTCACTGAGATGTATAATTATGAGCTGCGTACTTTTCTGTATGTATTATATTTCAGTTAAAGGTTTTACTCCCCTACTTCCCCATATGAGGAGGTGGGAATCATATGGCTAAATAAAGGGCATCTCTAACTGATGGGCTGAGAAAGAGCAGGTGTTATGCTCTGGAAAGAACCTTTCTAGGGGCTCCTGAGTGGCTCAGTTGGTTAAGCGTCTGCCTTTGGCTCAGGTCATGATCCCAGGGTCCTGGGATCAAGCCCCTTGCTCAGTGGGGAATCTGCTTTTCCCTCTCCCTCTGCCCCTCCCCCCTCACTCATGCTCTCTCCCTCTCTCAAATAAATAATAAAATCTTAAAAAAAAAAAGAACCTTTCTAATGTGGGTGCTCCCCTGTAACTACCCTGATATCTCTTCTGCTCCAGGTACCCAATGCCTGGGTAATAGGGTTTTAGCAAGAAAAGATACAGTCAACCTTCCCTCCATTGCCCAGATCTGCAAAGAAAGCTATTTCCAGAAAGGAGCAGGAAAGAGAGAGGTTTCTCTAAGAGGGTCCAGCAGAGGGAGGGAGGAGACTGAAAGCCCTATGAGGGCAGAGGGGGTCCCTGGCACTGGAAGGACCAGCTGGCTCTTCATGTCCCCCTCGTTAGAGTAACAGGTGAGAATAAGGGTGATGGGCATGCCCTGGCACTTTCTCCTGTCTCTGAGGGCAGTGGAAGGGGAATGAGGGCTACCAGCCTATCTTCCAGCCTCTGATATCCACCCACAGGAGCCCCGTGGGGCTATTCTGACTGGTTGACAGGGACTTTCTGGTGCTCTGATGAGAGAGCTTTCTCCAAGCTCCATAAAAAGCTCCTTAGACACTATCTCCGGAAAAGAGAATGAAGTTTACTAAAAGGTGGCAAGTAAATAACTTGGAATGTAATTTGTGGTTATAAAATATTTATTAATATGTAATTTCGTAAAGTGAGGATTGGTTACTTAAAATGTTAATAAGGCAAATTTTTTTTTTATTTTGAAGCCATATTTAAACTTTTGAAGAGAAAATAAGGAAACAAAGATTAGTATTTTCAAAAATTTCTACATTCCTGTTTTCATAGAATTAACAGTTCCAGTTGAAGATTCTTCCTGTGTTTCTTTGCTTGGAGACTCAGATTTAAACTATTCCCAGTCTCACCGTAATGCAGGCATCTCATCAGATTAACAGATATTGAACCAAGAGAGCACTTATCACACCATTTAAGCAACACAATGAAGGCTCTGCTCATTCAGAAGCACAGTATTAGATTACATGGGATTATGCTCATGGGAATTCTAGGACAGGTACTAATTTAAAATAAAATTTAAACTGTTAGTATTAATTTTAAACGTAAGCATAATTAAATGTAAGCATGATTTCTTTGATGGGGGCACAAGCTTTTTATGCTAAAATTGCTGATGGAATAACCTGTTTCTGTATGCCCCACGATATACTGTGGTTAGTCACCTGTAGATAAATCCAGATGCCAGAACTTTAGTTATAATTCAGCATGCTACAGATCTGGGTCACATTTCTTCAATTTCATTGATCTAGTCTCTCGGGCTCGACTTCATATATTTTATCACAGGATGTTCCTGTATGACTTGTAATTTCCCCAATAGAAAAAGGAAATACACATGCACACAAAAACCCATTAGCTATCCAGCAAATATTTATAAAGAACAGGGGAAACTCCATTCCCTTTAATCCTCTACCCACTAAAGACCACATGGGTAGCCTGAGTTTTTTGAAACCACTCATCTGGTAGCAATTTTTCTCAAGCAAATAAGTGCCTCAGGCCGCAAACAACTATCTTGCTCCCCACTTGTCTCCTGCTGGCCTCTGTGCTAAAAACGGGCCCTCTGCAGAAAGAGTGTTTAAAATAAGGCTGTATAGTGTCTGATAAGGTAAGGGCCAACATTTATTTTCAAATCTACCCAGGAAGATCCATCTGAAAGCAAAATTTAAAAAAAAAATTTTTTTTAACTCACTCATTACAAAAGATTAAATTAGTCGGGGGGAAAAGGGCCACTCATTCAGAAGCAGAAATTACAGATTTGGTCATGGCAGCCTGAGCCTTCCTGCCCAGCATCTCTTGTCACTCTCCCTGCCCAGTCTGGGTGGAGGCTGATGGCACAGGGAGGGAGGAGGAGGGACGGGAGGGCCTTAGGTTTTTACCGGGCCGTGTTTATTGCTAATGCTTTCTCTTCCATCGTTCTCAACTGAATGATTCCCTACTAGATTTACTGGTCTATCTCCTCATGTCAAGATGAAACAAGACAGCTCAACATAATTTGAACACTTTTGATAGCTTTAGTTTACAGGATAAATTTCTCTTGGCTTCAAGTACCCACTACCCCTCACTTAACCTAATCCCTCAATTAAGGAATTTGCAAACCAAGTCACTTCCGTATGCTTTCACTGTTAGAGAGTCTTAATTTAATGTGTTTTGACGATGGCATTTGTTAATATCCATGTTTTCAGACTTAATGGTGGTATTTAACATTATTTGTTATTGGTTTTATCAGAAAGTTATCTTCCCTAAAGTATGTGATGATAAAAAAAAATTACTATATTCTTAGATGTGATTTTATTATCAGGGTATCATATTTTTTTGTTGTTCTACTGGAATAGTGAATGGGTTCTTTTTAGTGTATGGGTTCACGTAATAATTGAGGGTAGAACTCAGCAGAAAATTAATTTATAGGAAGACTTCTATAACATAGTCACCTATTCAGCTAGTGAAAAGGTCACCAACTGCGGACTTAGAAGGCCTGGTTTCAAATCTTGTCTCTGCCACAAACATTTAGTTTAGGTTTTGTTGTCCTTAAAACAAACCTAACATGAGACATGAGATTATGGATGCAAAAGTGCTCAGCCCAACATTAAATCTCTACATAAAGATGAAACCATACCCGACTGCTAATGTGGCAAAAGCAGTGGGGACGTGACCAAAAAGAGAGTACGTGTGCTTAGCTCGGTTTTAGTTACTTATTTTATTTCCTAACTGCTAAAATTTCAGCCACTTTTAAAATATGGTTTCATGTTCCATTCATTGA